AGAACAAAGAAGAGAATATCCTACAAAGACGACAGAACAGTGGAGACAATCGATATTAGAGGGTCTGACGACAGACACAGCGGACCCCAAGTGGAAGAAGAGGAGGAACACGACCGTTCCGCGCCAAAGAAGTCAGATGGTGCGGAGGACGAGGAGTCAGGAAACGAGGGAGACGACAACGATTCTTCCCGCAGACAATCGCAAGACACCGATGAGGACGACGATAGCGACGGCAAGTCGGCCAGCGAGAGAACCGGCGAAGACCAGAGCGCCGCTTCGGAAAGAGGTGGTTCGCCATTTCCTTCGAGGACGCTGCGCAGAGAAGGAGAACGGCAGGCACGCAATGGCAGCGACACCGAGGAGCGTGTCGGTGACAGATAAATCTAACAGCACGTCAGCGCCGCCGGAAAAGGTCAAAAACTCCGCGTCGCACTGACTCCCCTCCCACTCCGATCACATAATCCCGTGCCCCCACGCGGTGCACGCCTTTACGCACGGAGAAGTGAATTTGTAAACGCACAGCTGATAGCCGAATCTTCAATTTTGCAAGTGCTGTATTCAAAACAAGGCGCTGAGTTGTTAACACTCTCCTGTGCGTTGTGTCTTCTGTTTTCCACCGATCGCAACATCACGAACGAAAGTGCGTGCAAGCGGCGGAGCCGTGCAAGGACCGAAGGACGAGGGCGCCGCATTCGCGAAGAAAATGAAGGGCAAGCTGTTGCGTTCCGTCGCCAAAGCCTTTGAGTTTTCTGCAGCAAACGACGCAACTCTCTACCCGATAGAGGACGCGTTTTTCGCGGCGGTGCAAGCGACGGCGAAACTGGCAGGGGAGACAGCAGAGGAAGGGTTGCGGTCTCACATAGCAGAGTGCGGGATTCGAGCTGTCATAGGGGAATGCAACAGAATGATGACGACGATCCGTGGAGAGATTACATGGCAGCTGAAATATTGGTTTTGGGCTGAAAAAGGGATTCCGCTCGTCGGATCGCAGCAAACGGACCACCACCTCCCCGCTCGCAACAAGATGCGCACCGAGATGAAGGAGAACAAGACGTGGAGACGGAGCGGTGACGATCCGTGGGGCGCCCCCGCCTTCAAGACGGCACTCTTAAAAGTTTTTCAGATGAGGAAGGAAGGCCGGAACCTGGGCGTCACCCTGCAGCAACTGGGTTTTGCGGAGATGGTCATTCAATGTGAGATAGAACAGACAACGAAGACGACACGAGCTGCGGAGCAGATAGAAAAATTGGTATCTATAAAGCAGACAATCGTCTCATCTCTCCGTAGCCGAGACACGGTAATGAGTTTTTCCGTCTTCAAACTGGACCGTTCCGTATCCGTGGCTGAGAAGGCAGCAACGCTCTTTCGCTCTGGCACGCCGTCTGTCCACAGGCCTGGGCCTCCAAGCACCACAATAACGGATGACGATTACGACATCGAGTTCATTCTCCCTCAGAGTACGGCAGCCGGAGACGGGGACAGGTGCACCGACAGTCTGTGCGCCGCACCCTGAACAACGAGGGGAAGTTTGGCGACATTTCGACATGGAAGGGAGGATGCGGGGCAATGACCAAACGGTGTAACGAAAGGTTCTTTTTTTAGACGTTTCGAATCAGGAGATGCAAAATCGAAGGCCACAGTCGGTGCAGGATATATATATATATATATATTTGACGATATATATATATATATAGAGAGAGAGAGAAAGATATGAAGACCTTCAGTTTTGCAGAAGAGAGAGAGAGAGCGAGTGCTTGCACGCACGTGCACCGCCTGAGGATTGCGAGCCGTATGCTCCATACAGTCTGATAACTACACAACTTCTGTTATTTTTGATACACAATTGTACAAACATTTGTAATGCTCATCTTTGTGCGATTGAGTGGTGTGTGCGGCTKACTCTGTAATGGTAACATGACACGACAATATGTTTTGTCAAGCTGTGGTGAAACTTATTTGTTGCAGGGCAGGGTGACGTGGACTGAGGCTCCCCACGCCAAATCGCCTTATATAGAATGGGACACAACAATCTTAGGGGCACAGAAAAGGAAGGTTGGCTACTGCGTGCCAAA